ATAATAATAATAATAATAATAATAATAATAATAACACAAATATGCAAGCAGTGAGCCATGATTGCGGTGCGTAGTAAATTTCCGTCATTTTTGATATTATTTTTCGGTTCACTACTCTGTCTTTCGATTTTAAACATTTACACTTATGTCAAAAGCGCTTCCACCGAAGCTTTGACCATTGAAAGTTATTATCGCTAGCCTCTGGCAACCACACGCTAAGCGCTATATTTGTTTTTTTCCCCCGCCCTTCCTCCCTACGGTAGGTATATATAGGTAAGTATTCCACTGACCAGACCGTTAGTGTGACAGGTGCACGGTGAGTTGTGACAGAGTTACCATGGTTACCGCAATTTCTTATGTGCCAGGTCCCATCATTTTCCCCTTCTGTTTGGATTATATGTGTAAAGCATATTGGCATTTTATATTTGCGAATGGTATCAAAATGAACGGTCGAGCAATCCCTGTTTGAATGACGAAACCTGAGTTTAGGGATAGCATTGCTAGATTCATCTGACAATCCCCCCAAACAAAGGATACCCTGAATGGTGTATCACATAAAGAAAGTATCTTAGCGTGTATATTTTGATCATAATTTGAGACTGTGGTTGGTCGAGCGACCAGTGTTTATGTGAGGTTAGTACCTGTATGTTTGACCAGATCGAAAGATATGACTGAACCATTCAAGCTCTAAGCTACACTGTGTTTTCTGTTTGTCTGTAAAAGTAATAGCGGAGCTCCCAAGCGGAGCACCATACTTAAGAAAAAATGRTAAACCACCGAGTTGATATTTCATGGCTTGGCTGACGTCACTTCCGTCCGTACGTACGGGCGTCCGTGTACACAACACAGGAATCCCGCTTGCTTTCAAAGCGAAACTGCTCGGAAATGCGGCTTTCAAATGCACAGAAAAAATAGTTTTAGGACAAATTTTAGWCCAACATTTTAAAAAAACCTTTCATATAGTCAAAGGTAGATCAAGAAGTGTTCTGCAAGAAGTCAGGTGTGTGTTTTTTAGCAAACAATAATATATTATTTGATACTGATTTTGACAAGAGTTTTTATCGACAAATCAAATAATTTCTCTCAAAACTTTTAATATTTCTATAGATAATCTTAATTGACTTCAATGCTGGATGAAATATAATCCGGAGAGCAAATATTACATCAAATATTCGGCCTTTATTTAGAATTGTAAATCTTTAACAATTTGGTTGTTTTTAACCAACTATCGTTTTCGTTCAAGAAAAATACAGCTTTGTTCGCCTCCTATCGCGGGGTCCCATCGGCAAA